AGTTTTCGGTATCAGGCAAAATTGTTGGGAAGTGGCGGGTACCGCATGACAAGCTAACATCATTGATTAGTAGCAGATGCTTTTAGATAATTTATTGTGGAGAAGGTGGTGCTTTTTATGTTATAATGTTGAACTAAAACGTTGTAATCAGGACCGTGTTACAAGTTGCATGCGGCTGAAGATTTTGAGATTACTGCGATTTTCTGAATTTGAATCTCTGTTCGGAATCTCGCGTCCAGTTTTATCTTATAGAGTCCCATGGAAGAGTATGAGAGTCAAAAACGATTTAGAAAGTCATCGGAACGCATGTACCTTTTCATCGTGATCTTGACAGAATTTTTTTTCTCATGATAATGATAAATGCATAAGTAAATTTGCTATAATGTAATGCATATCATTTTGTTACTGTTAACGCCCCTCGCCAATGGTTGCAAGCCAAACTGGGAACCTGAAGATCAGAAGTTCAAGCCCAGGTCGCATAACTTGTTTTTCTTCTTTCTAAGGATAATAAATGACTAACATTCTGTGGGAAGTAAATAGTATTCTTTACGTTTTGTTTGTCACAGTTGCAGTCGACTTTGCTTTTAAAACATAAGGCACTCCTGGCTGATTGCATTAAAATTGAAATCGGCGTCTCAGCATTAACTTCATGAAAATAAAGGCGCCAGAATTGACCCATTATGAAAGTGTAAAGAAGACTGATTTTCCGACGATTGCAAACTATCCTTTGCTTTCTTTCCCATGAAATTACGCTTCATTGATGTTTAAAGTTGTAAACTGTTTCTGTTAGAAGATGTTCTTAGGTTTCTAAACATCTAGGTGTTTTAGTCACCGTTATTCATCATTATCTGCTTGACAGAACCGTGATTGAGATTCAGGTTATACTATTTCAAGTTCTCGTTTTAAGAGGCGGTTCTTTTTTGATGGTGAAAAGATTCTTACTGTATAGATTAAGCATTCAGATCTTTTAGTTTTTTATCAACTGGGTGATATGCCGACTGTTAAAATTTCGTCGTCCCAGGTTGAGTGAACACGTGACGAATGGGAGACGCTGGTATTGCAAATGTGCTTCCAGGAAATGAAGGATATCATTTGAAAAGTGGTTACTTAACTCCTTGCCTTTTTATTCTGGTCTTCTGATTACGGATCCGTTTTATCCCGTTCATTTTCCAGTATTTGTCTGTGCCATATTATAAACATTTTTGGAAGAACCCATAGAGGAAGAACACACAGATTGCAAACAGATCTACATGTGCCTTTACTGTAGTAGTTGCAGCACCTTGATCGTTTTCTCCTGCCTCCAACTTTTGACTAAACTGTAGTCTTTGTCACTGTTTTACTTGTTGCTTTGATTGTGGAGTTTTTTTACGTTCGTGTCCTGCAATCGTAGTATATGTTACATTCATGTTAGACAATCAACGATGTAATTTTTTTCGCAAGTCTTCTGGCTGCTGCGTACTGTCGGGGAATTAGAGACATTGGAACTTAACTTGTATGCACTAGAAGTATGGGGTAAGGAGCGGTTAGAAGAATTTGCCGATTCATCGAATCTGTGTATCATTTTTTCTCTGTCTCCTGACCCATCGTCTTCTCAGATGAACGGGACCTAGTTGTCTCTGCGATGTAACTCCTTTTAAATCTCCTATAATATCATTGTGAATTTGGAGCAGTTTATGGAGAATTCCATGCTCAAAGAAATTATGGCGACTGCTGGCATTGGACCTGACCCGTAGATTATTTTAAAGTTTTACTGTGACTTTCTGTGCACAGCTGAGACCCTCTTTCTTTTTACTGTTGTCAACTGTCTTTTTTGTGAATGTGACAAGGGATAGTTTTTATGATGATTCAAGTTCAGTTATCATTCTTGCCATATTTTTCACATTTACACATCAGTATATTTAATGAACTCAGTGAGGTTTTAGAAGTGTCGTTTGCGACATCACGGACCATCTCAATCCTATGTCATGGTAAAATATAGTATAAATGCTTTCTTGTCTTGTTTTATTAGACCT